AAATGATAAGGAACAGAATCAGTGTAGAAAAAGAGTCCATCTATTGCCACTGGCTCTGTAACTCTCAGTATGGAGTTGGTTTCCAAGTATTACAAGCCTTATTTGCATAATAATTGCTGGAGGCAAAAGGAGCTTGTCCCAAAGAACCAGTGCTCCTCATAGTCTTAAACTCAGTTCCATCAACACCCCTGCATAAGCTAGAAGCAATAGTATGAATGCTGCTTGGCCTCCCAAACCTGTGCCCTCTACAGCCACTCCTTTCCCCAGAAGCAACCACAGGCTGCTGTTCAAGGAAATAATTTACTCAAAATGGTAGCCAAAAGAGATATTTGGAACATGACAACACATAGTTAATGAAAAAGAATAAAACACAAGCTTACTTTTCATTTATTCTGTTAACATACAAAGCATTCATACTCTGGAGGCAGGGGAATACATTTTTACATTTGCCTCATTTCTAGCAATTTCCTTGTCATGCCTTCACATAATTTATTGTAGAATAAATGTCATTAATTACACACTTGGTTTGTTCTTCTGCATACTCTGCAAAATAAGCTGTCAGAATATGTATTAACAAACTATGCTTCCAGGACTACACCAGAAGAACTGCTTATGAAGAGTATGAAATATTCCTTTCCAGAAATCTTAAGAACAAATACCATGGGAATACATGCTACTAGTTTACAAAAGCTGAAAGAATGCCAGAATATCAACAAGTTAATACAGTTAAATTATTCACAGAATATGTATCATAAACAGATGTGCGCAATGATAAAATACTGGAAACTGTGTGACAACATATGAATTAGTACTATGACAGAAGGCACTGTGTTTTGTTTAAGACCTGAACAACCCCATGCATGAGCAGAAAACATGGAGCGGGGTTGATTTATTTCCCAGGGCTATAACATCATGCTGCAATCCTCTGTTCCCAGAAGCGGCATTTGAGCAAACACAAAATGTTACAGATCCCTTTGGATCCCAGCCTGTGAAAAATTTGACTGAGCTTATGGAGATACGCTTGATTTAAAAGAGTATAATATGGCCATTCCTGATATTTGAATAAAATACTAGGAAAGGATACATTTATGGTTATTCAGAGATATCTGAGGAGCCAAAAATCATTTCATGGACTTTTTGACTGCAGTGAAAATTCCACTGGGCTCTAAATGCACCTTCTTTTCAAACCAAAGATCCACTGCATGCTGCTCATACAAGAACATGACAGAAACAGGGGCTGTGGAGTAAAATTAAACTGACAGCCTGTAATGAGGGCCCAGCCCAAAGTTACAACTAAGCTGGGGACACAAAACACCCAATGAAATTTGGAAAAACAGATGAAATACCTATCAAGGAGACTCGCACATTTACAGATTGCTTTCAACTGTGTGAACTATTCCACGTTAAGAGCATCTGAGACTTCGGTGGCACTGCTTGACACCAGTCTTCCAACAATATCTTCTTCCCAGATGCCTTGCAACAGCTAATGTAAATGTGAGGTACTTCTCTTAAGAGTCTGTGCATGTTTAGTCACAGCACTTCAGAGAAATTCCTGTGATGATTAATGGAGGGGCTGCTTAGTAACAATGTTTCAGAAGCATGGAGGAAGGGAAGAACCAGGTTGATGACTAGCTCTATATCTTCAGACCAGACACTCGAAGGAAACCATCCGTCCTCCTCAAGCTCCCACACATTCACCTGATGAAGATTCTCACCCTGTTGGCCAAAATATTTCTGAGGAAGGCAGCTGTGATGGAGAAGAAGAAAAAAATCACACCCAACATCTTTGTCCTGAGGCTCTTTCAACCTGCTTTGCTCTTCGGCACAAGGGACTCCGTATCCCCTGCCTACTGCATGCATCTCAAAGGTCTTTCACCACCTGCATCCTGGGGCTTCTCCACACCTTCCCAGTCCTGCAACTGGCAAGCTTGTGCAGTGCTGCTTTTGCTCACTCTGGCATTTGCCTCAGCAGCAGCTGCACCAGCTGCTGATTCTCAGCCCCTTCCCCACCCACTTTACAAGCCTAGTTCTTTTTCTGGGACAAAGGTTGAGTGCCACCCAATATCTGACACATTGGGATGGGCCCTAATTACTTCCGGCTGCACTGAAGAAACAATGTACAGTATGGCCTTTCCAGAGGTAGCAGCTGGCTAAAAAGGAAACAGGGCAGTTCACTGTTAAATCTGTCTACTGAAGAAATAAAACCTCCTTCAGGAAAATTTGATACTTTTGAGCCATAAACATTTAAGATGATAAAGGATTAAGATGTTAAAATACTTGGTGACAAAGGAGATTCAAAATAAGTAAATAAAGTTTTTCTTCAATACTAGTTTCTTAGATAATGGGGAAACAATCCAGAACTTTTACGTTAACTTATTACTGATATTTGGAAATCCACTTGAGCATTCCTAGATGCCTACCAAGAAATCTATCATCTGAGTTAAAATACACACAAAACCTATCAGATCATGGGGATTTAAAAACAAAAACAAAAAAGAGCGGAAAAGTTAAAACCACTGAAAGACAAGCAGAATGAAAATGTTTTTCGCTGTCCACATAAACACTGTCAAAGATGGGCCCAGTCTTTCAGAACAGTTCTGTAAATGAGGTCCTACCTCACAGTCCCACCAGCTAAACCTCATTTTGATGGTGGGATATAAATCAAGAAACTCAGGGTATGATGATAACCAAGGAACAGCTTCATATAGGACCGGCGTCCAGATATCTTCACTTCTAGTTACTTTGGCTTTAGAGATATGAACCTGTAGGTATGAGAGTTTGGGGTTTTCTGACTATAAATACCATAATTCTGGGAGTTCTACCTACTTCACTGACATCTTACAAAAATTTAAATGTGATGCTTCTGAGAGAAAGACAGCCTAAACTGGGAGGTTTCAAGGCACAGCAAGGCCTATTTCCAACCAAGCTTCTTGTGCCTGCTTTTGTTTTGTTTTGGTTTTTTGAGTAGGAAACTTTGAACATCCAAAGATCCCATCCTTGTGAACCAGCACCAGGCTAGTATTAGAGCAACACTGACTGGTATTAGTGCAGAAATAAGTTTATTAGCTAGATATATATTTGGCCCATTGAAATATTGTTTCTGTGTAGGGTTTTTTCTGATATATCTTGTAACTGTTGAAGTTTTTTAAAATAATATATTGTTAAACATTATAATGTATTACTCTGTTATGAGCCACTTTGGACATGGCGTACTATGGATAGAAAAATTAATCTGCTCTGTCCAACAACAGAACACAGTGCTGCGTGTCACGTGCAGCAGCTAATAATACCTTGGTGAGTAAGTGTAAGTTGTGAAGTTCTCTGTCCAAATCTTAGCATAGCCATGAACTCTAGAGAGCCCTTTGATATTGCTCCCTCCTTCTCTCTTCCTGAATCAGCCTTTCTCTCCACTTCTGCAGTAGGATGATGATCACAACACCAGTTTCATCCTACCATGTGGCTGTGAGGGAACATGAGGTAATACAAAGATACTGAAGCATAATTGAAATGCTACATACGATAGCCTCTGCAATACTATTATCTCCTCCCAAAACTATTTTAACTTCATCACCTCACACTTAACTCACTACAGCTGCATTCCTAAGCATGCTTAACTAGGACACAAGCATTTTTAATGCTTGGATTAAAAAAATTTTAAAAAGCATTTTTAATGAGATCCTGCGTGAGGCTGAAGTGCAATTCAAAAATCTACCACCCTAGTGTAATTCATGTGGAGCTGTTCACAAGGCTTCATGTTGGCACTATTTCAGCAGATCAGAAAGCTAGAGGGTGTTTGTTTTTCAACCTGCAGGTGCCACAAATCAAAATTTGGCAGCTGCTACCATCAGCTGCCCACTAACAGTTCAAAATTAATAAGGCCAAATGCTGTAATCGTTCAACCGCTTGATATGATCAGTTTCTACGGCAGGAAGATATAACTTATACAACCAGAAAACAATGATAATGATGACTTATAATGACTAAACATGTTAGTAATTAAAAGGTACTAATGGTGTACTAACATGCTATAAACATTTCTGGCGGAGTGAAAATACTTTGATTTACACAGAATATCTCAAACAGTGATTAAGTAGAAGACTCTAGAATGGACTAAGGGAATACCCAGATTAAAGCAGCAATTTTTTGCATGCATGAAGTTCCCAACTCTGTGTGGCTCACCATCTGGGATACGAAGGTTTCCAGAGCCTTGGAGTGTAAATCATGTTCAGTCACCACACTATACCAACTAAGTTACATTTTAACATAGGTACAAAATGTTCTTCATGATATTTTGTGTTTCTGTACATGCAACATATCAAGGACAAGCACCCCAAACTCTCGGGGAAGATGTTGCCAGGCTGAATGTGCAGCTCTGCACTTTCACATTCAAATTCTGTTCAGGGCATATTTCGACTCAAAACCCTTTAGCTCATATTGTTGCCGATACAGTAATGCAATTCACAGCAATAGCAAAAGTTATTTTCTGTCCCAAGAAAGACATTACACTGAAATTCATTCATTCTACTTCTTGCAACAGCAAAAACAGATTTTAAAAAGGTCCAAAAGTTCATCTGAATGTATTCACAATACCCATGCATATTACGACAAGAGAAAAAGAGATGGATTTGGAGGATTAAAGACCAGTGAAGAGTGAATCCACTTTTCAGAACACCCACACAGAGACAGCAGCTCCCACCAAGAAAAATGTTCTCTTACCGAAATAAACCACAAAGATTCTTTTCATGAAAAAGAGTTCTCTATATGCAGATTACATGACATTTAATTTTGGGAAACTCTGCTGAAATGAAACCCTTCTGTGCATGATTCACAGAGTTCATGAGATAATAAATGATTAAACAATACACATCCTTTTAGATAATTCAATACTCTTTTCTTCCTGGTATGCTTAATTCTTTCATGAGTTATCTTTCACATTCTGCCTAGACTTAATGATTAAAAGAGAAATGGAAGTGATGATTAAAACATTATTTGTAGCCTACCTTGGCACTGAAACCCTTGCTTCCCAAATCCCCTGCAAAGAAAAAGAAAAAAAAATAAGATGTTGGAAAAAGGGCCTAGAAATCCATTTTGACATTAAAAGAATATCAAACTGCAATGTGATTAGAAGGTTTAGTATCAAAGCAAAACAGTTAGTTCTATCTACATATTGCTTAGTTGAGTCCAGGAACCGGGTCAGTTTTCCGGACTGCAATAGCTTTTTCAATCTTTTCAGAATTATCAATTCAAAATAATTAATTTGCAAATGTTGTAATATATTTATACCATATGATGCACTTAGCAATGTAACAAATATGTCTGGTTTGCTTCTGAAGTCTGTAACAATTACCTAAAGTCCTCACTTCAGTATATTATCCAAAAATTACACTACATGGCAGAGAAGTAGTGAAGAAACTGACTGAGATGGACTGAAATCAATCCTACATTTTGTTTCAAGGACTCTCTTGAAAATTCAAAAAGCCAAACGTGTTCACAGTGAAATTATTCCTGTTATGACTATCGGAACTCGGTGGAGCTGCAGCCCATCCAGCAATACAACTCAGCCTCCCTTGGTCAGGTGTCCTCTAGCTCTGCTCGATTACGACTGCCACCATGAGCAAGATGGGAGTTGCAGTACTACATATCTGGAAGACATCAAGTGGAGGAAGGCTAGTGTAACCACTGAATGAATGAATTGTCTTTACTTCTTTAGGGTTAAAGCCAAAATTCATATCTACAGCAGCCTCACTAAAATGAATGGAAAGAAGTCAATGTTACTGACCATTCCTATCAGTACCACTGATTTCAATGGATTTCCTTTATTCATGACGGGTTCGCCCCAGCATCTGGAATATATTATTATCCCAGGAGGCTATCAGATGGTGCTGACTTTCATGGCAAACAGAAGAGAACTTCTAACTGGTGAAAAGAGAGCATCTGATTTCCAGGATTTGTTCCTGTCCTCTCTTCCTAGATTTAGACATTTGAGGATACAGTACACATTTTAACCTATGACAATTGCCTTCTTGTTACCTTAGTAAGAATTTATGACATTAAATTCTTACTACTAAACAAAGTTAGAAATGGTGTTAAATAAGTAAATAACCAGTGAATTCAGACGGTTGGGAGAGTGAAGAGGAATCAACTGTGTATATTAGACATAGGATACTCATATTTATGTCCCTGGAGATATGAATACGAATACTGCCACCACAAGTCCAGTCCTCCCCCCCCCCAAAACCAGCCAGTCCACTGATAGGCACACACAGCTATCATTTGCTTCATCGTGCCAATGGGAGAAGCAGCCTGGCTGGCTCTTCTCCACCTCCCCATGCAGCCATCTGCTCAACAGCTGAGCGAGGAGACTCCTCATCCCACCTCCTTGCTGGACTGGTCGGCTGCGCAGGGAGGCAGGGAACAGCTGGTCAGGCTGCTTCTATGACTGGCACAATGACAAGGAGAAAGGCCATGCACACTGCACAGTGAACCATGAGTACAGCAGCTGATTCAGGGGAGAGGGACTGGATTTCCACAGCATCTGTGGTGCCCATATTCATATCCCCAGGGATGCAAATATCCCATGTGTGCTCTCTCTCTCTCTCTCTCTCTCTCTCTCTCTCTCTCTCTCTCTCTCTCTCTCTCTCTCTCTCTCTCTCTCTCTCTCTCTCTCTCTCTCTCTCTCTCTGTGTGTGTATGCGTATGTGTATATGTATGGACAGACAGACAGACAGATAGATAGATAGATGGTCTTCAATTGTTTTAAAATAAATATATTATCAGAACAAAACACTGTAGTAGATTATTATTTTTTGTTAAAGAAAACACACAGTTGATTCCTCTCTGCTCTCCCAACCACCTTAATCCGCTGGTTATGTACTTACTTTAAACTAGATAGGTAGGTAGGTAGGCAGGCAGGCAGGCACACAGGCACGCACCTTCTCCCAGATTTTTAACTACACAATACAGTTGCAAATGATGCTCTAGAGAATTCACAGGATAATAAAAAGTTGTTGTCCATTAATAAGCAAAGACAGCGACATATATGCTTATTTTATTTCATGACATCATATGTGGATATACATCTAGGAGTTGTCAAATTTATTATTTCTTCTTTAAATGACATTTTAAAAACTTGACTTAACAGAATGCAACAATTATTTACACCATCTTTTATTTCCTCTCTGCGAGGTTTCCTAAGGCACAGCACATTTCCCAATATTTATGCATGGGAGAATAGAAAGATGACTTAAGACTGCAATTCTGTACAAACTTACTTAAGAGGAAGTTGAAATGAACTTTGTGGGACTTACTTCTGAACAGATACATGTAGGACTGCCCTGCAATAGGCAGACTGCACTTTAAGACAGTATGCCAACACCAAGTAAACTGAGGGCACTTTTTACATGGTACATTATTTTCAGATTCCCAGACTACAGTATCAAATAGATGCACACACTCTAAGCCAGTGGTTCCCAACCTTGGGTCCCCAGATGGTTTTGGACTAAAATTCCCAAAAGCCTTCCCCACTAGTTGTGCTGGCCTGGATTTCTGGGAGTTGTAGTCCAAGAACATCTGAGGACCCAAGTTTGGGAACCACTGTTATAAACCATTAAAGGCTCACACATAGATAATTTGCAAGTTTTTTGTTGGACACACATACCAGAGAAAGCACAATCCCTTCCAGTTTCTGCTCATGAATTTTATAGAAACTGCCATCTACCCATCTGCCCTCTTTACACAGTAGGTTGTTATCCTACTCTCTAGCAACAAACTCTGAATTCCAAGTGTCCTCTAGACCAGTAGATTTATTCAGTCAGATACTGAGTAAATCAATACTGTCATAAGGAAGTCTGGCTATCATTACATCCTAAAAGTCCTAACTCTCAGTAATGTACCATTCTAATATTGTTACTACAAAGGAAATAATGGGCTATTCAGCGTATACACCTTGGGCAAACCTGGTTCCTGGGCAAACAAGTTACAGCATGCAAATAAAAGCAAGATATTTGAATGTAAACAATTCACAGGAATCCAGGCAGGAACACCCAGTCATGTTTTTCCAGGGACACAGAGACAACATGCACAACCATGTACAGGTTTAAAGCCTATTTAAATTCGTTCCATTCAGCATCCTTTAAATCAGTGGGTCTTAATGTATGCCACTAATTTTCAGTGGAGACAACTAAGTTCATCTGGACCCAACCCATCAGAAATTCATCTGAACCCAACCCATCCGAAATGTAACAAGAAGTTGAAATGTAACACAGGATGGGTGTGTGTATACACACCCACAACATCCACTACCTGAAATACCAGTATTCTGTCCAGGAAATAGAAACACTCTCTTCTTCTCTTCTGGTTCTAAAATATTATTTATTAGTCTGTTTCATGTTTTCCATAGGGATAAAACTTTTTCTTGAGCTTCCACATTTAAAGCATGTTACCTACAAAGTATTTTCAAGTCCCCATGCCCTCCAGAGGCAGCAAAAGGAAACACAAGAGAGTAAACTGTCAACTCAATATTGAAATTCATCTAAATTTCTCCTAAAATAAGGTCAAACAATTATTATACTTGGCATCTGCAGAGTCAATTACTTAAAGGATAGGTTAGATGTACATTTTGCATCTGCAATCACACTGAATCTGGTAAATAAAGGCCTGCATACACTCATCAGAACATTACACTGGCTGTTTTGTGACATACAGAACACGTAAAAACATGCACACACAAAGCATTCGCATTTGTGTAGTTTGGTCCTTAGCAGGAAACAAGCTAGAAAGGAACCAGTGGGACAGCTTAGCAAAACATCTGCCCTCTCCCTTCTATACAGTGCATCGTTATCTCACTCTCTAGCATAAGACTCTGAATTCCAGGTTTTAATCAACTGATTATACACTATGGACCATGTCAAAATCAAGGGGGGGCAGGTATGCATGTGTGATGGTGGAAATTAATGTGGTAGCAAAGGACTGTTCAGCAGAGAAAGGAATGAGAGGATATGTGTGGCAATAAAATGCCTACAAGAAGCTGTGAAGGAGCTGAAAAGAAAAGAAAAATCAAGGCAGGTGGCTAATCAGAATTTAAGTAGAGCACGATCTAAAAAAGAGATTTGCTTGAAGTTGGAAGTCTTGCTGGATAAAGTTGGCATCACAGTTCGGCAGGATACTCTTCATAAGCTTCTTCTTCTCCTTACCATATCAAGTGAGCAGAATGGAATGAGGAGCAGATGGCTTCCTATGATAGGACAGAAATGCTGCACAAGCAGCAATTTCTCATGAAAGAAAATTTGTGTCCCTGCCAAAAAAATTTCCTGGAGGGACCAAAATGAGGGCAGTGTCTTTCAAGGTGAAAGTGATTTATAAGTAGCTCTCATTCACAAAGCACTTGTAGGAAGCACAGCCCTACTGCTGGCAGAAACGGATTCTTTTAAGAGACCACCTTGAGGGACGGGGAAGCAGGGAGGTCCCTAGTACTACTGACCATGCACTTGCTTCCAGAAATTAAACACTGCGGCTTCTTCTTTTAGCTGAATGACAAGAGAACCTGCATCCCCAGGTGTTGTTGAACGTCCACTACTAGAAGAAGCCTCAACCACCATCGCCCACCCTCACAGATTCTAGACGTTGCAATCCCACAACATTTAGAGAAGAGAGACAAGGATGATCTGGCTTGAAGCTACATATACTGATCTCTCTCTCTCTCTCTCTCTCTCTCTCTCGTTCTTGGTGCTTCTGCAGCAATTCAGGGAAAGTAACAAAGGATATCTCTAGCTTGTTAACAAGTTGCTCACCAATTCCATGGACTGGAGGCAGGGGATAAGAATTGTTTCTGTGGGATCCCTTCACCAAGGTGGTTAGTAAAAGGTCAAACAGGGTGGCCACATGCAAATGAAGACAAGGTTCCTATAACTTTCATGTCTGCACAGAAGACGAAATTTCGGCAGGTCAAGATTCTCTCAGCCCTGCACAACAAGCCGTTCCTGTTAAACAACTAGGAAGCGGTCCTGGTGAGTGCAATGGCTCTCACACAACAGCTTCCACTAAGGGACACACTTTTACTAGTCCAGCTTTCTTGCTGCAAGGCAACAGAAGGGGCTGAAAAGAGACGATCATCGATCTTGTGAATGTAGTGCAGCTTTCCTCAATCTGGTGCACTCCGCATGTGTTCGACTACAACTTCCAGCAATGGCCATGCTACCTAAGAGTAGCAGGGCTTCCTGCAGCCCAACACAACTGGTAGTTAGTGTAGTGGATAGATGGTGTCCTGACAGACTGTTATTCAGAGAAGACTGTGGATAATGGGGGATGATGAAATGATGCATTCAGTGAGATTTTTATGGTCAGTCATAAGACTATTAATTTTATTAAGCATAAGATGAATGCATGCCGGTTTCCGGGAAAGAAGGAATCTGGAAGATGATCTCGGAGGAGTATCTGAATGGCACACCGAGAGAGAGGGGGGCTGCCTTATACTACCAGGGGGAGGTGTCCATGCAGTGACACTGTCTGGGTCTCCCTCTGTGGAATGACAGTCTCAAAGATCCCCCAGAGGAAGCCGATGGAGCGCCCCCAAGCTCTCTTCTTGGGATAGCCCTAGCAGGGGTAGCTTGACCCACAGGGAGGGCCCCGGCAGGAGGAACTGCACGCAGAGAGGAGTCTCTTTCTTTCTCTTTCTCTCTCTGTAGGAGGAAAGCACAGAGAAAGAAAGAGAGCGGGAACGCTAGCTTTTTCCAGGGCACAAGCTGGGAACGAAGAGGCCCCCGCCGCCCCACCTCTGGGGAGACCGTGTGCGGTGGGCTTCCTCAGCAAGATATCCAGAGGCGCCCTGAAAGAAATCCCTCCATCGGCGCGGGGGGGAGGCCTTGCCGAGCAGCCTCTCTTTTTCTACATCAAGGCGGTCCTCCTGAGACGAAGGTCTCCCGAGTGGGCTGAAGACGGGGTGGGGGGCGGCCGGAGGGCGTGAAGGGAAGAGTTCTTGGCGGGCGATGAGAAATCCCTGCCTGCCTCCCGGGGGTGTCGGACTGAAGAGCAAGCTTCTCCCAGCGGCAGGCTGGCAAGGCAGGAGGGGTGCGCGGAGAGGAGGATCGGGGCGACCGCGACCACCCCCACCCGCTGCCACCACTGCAGTGCCTTAGTGCCTTATTTGGGGAGGGGGAGAGGGGGGGTGGGGCCGCTCGCTGGCTCTCTCGCTCGCTCGCGCTCCTTACCAGATGAAGTCGGTGCAGTGGCTGCAGAAGGTGGGCTGCTTGAAGAAGCGCGCGATGAATTTGTGGTTCCTCACCTCGTGCACGTTCTTCTGCCGGAGGGCCCCTTTGCGGGCGAAGCGCTGCGCCGCATCGGGACCCGAGCCGGGCTCTGGGCTAGGGAAGACGTCGGCCATGGCCAGCGAAGGCGCGACCGCCCCGGGCCTCTCCCCTCCGCTCTCTCCTGCTCCGCCTTGCCTTGCCTTGCCTTGCCTTGCCTTCCCCTAAGCCCACCAAGCGCCTGCCGCCGCCGCCGCCGCCTCTCTGCCCAGTCCGGCAGCCACCCACCGTCTGGCCGCGGGGTGGATGGGCGCTGCCTCCTGCCGGCTTGGGCTCCTCCTGACGTCTGAGCCACGCGCAAGAGGGAGGCGGGAGGAGGATCCCATTCCCCGGGCCAGCCCCGACGGCTCCGCCTGCCGCGCGCTCCCGGAGCCTTCCCTTTTCCCCCTCCCTTCCCCCCCCCGTTGTGTGGAGGAGGGGCGGGCAGCCACAGTAGGAAGATGCAGGGAGCGGGGTGGAGAGCGAGCGAGACGGCGAGCCGGGGAAAGCCCGTCTCTAGGGCAACGAGCCTGTCTGCAGCCACCACGCCCCCCAACCCACAGGAGGGAGAGAGGGAGGGACGAAAGGGGGTTGAGGATGCGCGCCAAAAATGGGCCTGTCTTTGCTTCCCCCCCCCGCCTCGTCCCCGCGCCAGGCGAAGTACTTCCCGAGAATGAGGCGGGCTTCACCTGTGGCGCTCGAGGCGTGGAGGAGACACGCCCGTCCCCCCCCCGCCCCCGGACACGGGGACTCCGAGCGCTGCTGCTTCAGTTTCAAAATAAGTGAGCCGGGTGAGGGAGAGGCGACGTGGTGCGAGGCGCTCTTCAGCCACAGGCACAATGGCGTCACTTTTTTTTTTTACCACCGAGACCTTAGGCGTGTTGTTTCCGAAGTCCCGCTGAATTCAACAGGGACTTACTGTGCCTTGGTGAGAAGCGGCCCGAATACATCATTCCTACGTTTCACTACCCTTGCCAGCGCTTCCAAGAAGGACGTATTCCCGCTCGAGGTGTCTGAGGCTCAGGATTGTTTGAAAGCAGCTCGCGGGGTTTATTCGCTCCAGGCTCTGCTTGCCAACCGGAGGCTAAGCGCTTGCCACAGACTGTCGCGCCCATGGCGCCACAGGGTCCGTTTTGTGCTGTCTGGGTGTCGCACTACGAAGACCCGGCTCTGGCCGCGTCTCAGCGAATACCCGAAAGCCCTCCCCCGACCCCTGTGCGGACACCACACAGCGGAAGCAGAAGAAACACGTCGTCTGCTTCGTGCCACAGCCCTTCGTGACGCCACCAGCCTGTAGGAGGAAGAGCGCCGGCTCCACACGCGTCTTGCAAGACTGAGTCCCTAAGACTTAAGGAGCGCGGCCTTTTCTCACACCCACGCACGCAGGTTCGCACTCCCTTGTTGCCTCACGCCGTCCCCGCCCCAAACCTGTTGCTTCACTTCACGCTCCCCCGATACAAACCACTCTGGCGAAATGCCGCGCCCCTGCCCGTGATTGACGGGGCCGTGGCTTTGGATTTAGAGACCCAGGGCGAAGGAACTGGCTGCCGCGGCTCTCAGGGCAGGACTCCGAGTCGGGGATTGCGCACAGGGACTCCTCATTCCAAATCTGAACGTGAGGACGGAGGGCAGCCCTGGCCCGCCTTTTCCTCGTCCTACCCAAACCCACTCTCTGGAAAGGGAAACGGGGGAAGCCCAAGAACCAGGCATTGGCAGACATTCTTCCGGGCGCGCAATAGCAGTCCCCGCGCCCCTTTCTCTAGACCCTTGCCCGTAAGGGGCCGGCGCTGAATCGGGAGGCTTTCTTCCGTATGGAGACGAACGCTTAGGGGGAAAAAAAACAGAGACTCGTGCTTGTGAGGGTCTTTGAATTCTCTGCCACACCTTCAGGAGATCCTCTAACTGAATTACAAACCCCTACACATTCCTGGGGCCCTAAGAGCGACAGCTTCAGGTTAGGGTGGCCAGCGGTTCTTCATAGGCTTTGGACTACAACACCCATCAGCCTGAGATGAGTTGCTCATTACATTTGCTCAGTTGTGGCTACCTCTTGGGTGGCAGGGATCAGACGCATTCCCAGCCCTGCCTTCGCTGGAGGGATCTTGGGGCTCCTCGGGAGCAAGAGAGAACCTCCAGGTGAGGTTGGACTGTTTAAAAGCAAAAGCAAAGTGTGCTGTTTATATACCACCCCATAGCGCTTCAAGCGCTCTCTAGGCCAGGCTTGTCCAACCTGCGGCCCGAGGGCCATATCCGGCCAGGTCGGCTCATAACGCGGCCCTGTGCAATTTTTTATTTTTAAAGAAATTACAAAGTTTCAAGTTACACCGCCGGCGCTTGCGGACGGAATGCGGCTGGGGCACCTCACAATGGTGGGAGGG